GTACTATCGTGATGATAGAACGATAGACCATCAGAGCGTGAACATGGTGATGAAAGCTTTGATTGAAACGCCGCTTTACTTCAGAAATAGAGCTTATAAATCAAAAACTTATTTTGAATAAGAAGATGTGAGAAGAACTGCAATTCGTCAAAAATGAACGCAGCCATATCCCTACAATGCAACCCATTTGGTAAGGAAGAAGAAGCAAAAAAAAGAAAAACGAGAAAATGAAAAAATGACGATCGCAGCCATTGATGAACTGAACAATTAGAAGAAATCAGAAAATTCAGATTTTTCTTGAAAAATAGCGAACAAAGGATTAAGCACACTTATAGCTCTTAGGTAAACCGATCTGTTAATAGTTTGATGGTTGCATAAAACATTACCTGACAATAGAGATCAGTAACCGGCGCTAACGCCTCCTCGCGGCCAGTGTTCACAGTAACTGAAAAATACAAAATTGGCATCTATAAAGTAGAAATCCGAATGAAAAAGCTTACTTATATCTTTCTGATGTCTTTTCTTCATTTCTTTCTTTTCACGTTTCGAAAACCGTTTTGTACCACGTTTCATGTTCTCTTCTTCTGGCAGCTGTATTGTCTGAAGATACCTCCATTAAAAGTGAAAAAAAACAAAGGAGATAAGTAAAAATAAGGTATAAAAGTGTATGTATATCTTGAAGCAGTGAAGAAGACCCCTTCCCATCCACACAGCACTATTTCAAAATTTACGCCGACAAAGACATTGGTAGCAAACTTACAGCTAGTGGAGCTAATCCTTGACGATTTTTCCGCAACAAAAACCGTCCCTCGCGATCGTCGCGATGCCAGGTAAGCTGCACCAGTAAGGGTTTTTCTTCGTCATCTAGTTTCCGCTCTCCACCACTTTCGTGAACCTGTGAAGAATTTATTGGGCATTGAAAAGAAAAAATTAGTCAACGCCTCGATAGATAATTTCATCTGGAGAAGCAGAATTGAAAAGAAATGAAACATGGAACCACACTTTCACTCGTTACGCTGATTGATTCTCATGAATGAGGGCAGTTTCGCATCGTATCGAAGATTCCATTAGGCGTTGCAACGAAAACCCAATCAACGTGTCAAGTTGCGATGAAGGGCAATAACTGGCAAATGAAAAGTTCTGCAGGATGTAGTAATTCTTTTACGGACAACCACAGCCCTCCCGCTTTACCTGCATCGTTAAACTGCAGGAGACCTCTAGTCCTGGACACTGCTGCATTATATGACCAATCCAACATAAGCTGCTACCGTTCGGTCGACGTACTACTTGACTCGGTCCTTTGTGCTGCCTCACTCGACGCTTTCGTCTGCGCTCTCTCGCCTTATCAGCGGCTCATGACCACTGTGATCTCACACATTCAAACTTTTGCCACACTGTAGTTGGCTCACCCACCTCGGAGTCCCTCCCCCTTACAAGGCTTAGTCCTAGGCTCTCACCTCCTTCCTTGGGATTTGGAGCCGAGCCAGGCGCCGTTCTCTAATCGTCTGTGCTCTCCGCCATTCGTGGCAGGACCATAGAAGAAGTTCAAGTAGTCCGTAAACCCTACCGTTCAAGTTCTTTTTTTCTTGTAACCATGCTGCAACCTTAGTATTTCTGCCCTACCCCGATCACATCTAATTGAAATTGGTGAGCCGGTGACTAGAGCCAGTAAGAGGGAGAGAGCGGCACCATCCTCTTTTTGTAAGACCAGGAGGCTATTCACTAAGTATTCACAACCGCTTTACTATAGCCACCTTTGAATTTTTACCGAGCCAGCAACAAGACAAAAAGAGTTCAAAGAGACAAAAAGAGACAAAGAGAAAGACAAAGAACAAAAGATAGGAAAAAATAGAATAAAATGAAAACTGGAATAAGGTTCAACGTGTAAAACTGCTGGAGAAATAAATGGTGATTCCAAATTCCGAACAACGAATCTCACCTCCCAGAGACTATAAGTGTCATCAGAAAGCATTTTCAGGTCCGGCAAGAATTTGTCAGTCAACGCTTCCACAACGGCACGTGTTGTCGCAGTACTAGACACACGGACACACTTCGTCAGTACTCTTTCACCACCATCCTGACAAATGCTGATTTTAATTACACACAAAAAAGTAAAGATTGTATACTTGAGCTTGATGCTCTTCAAACAGCGCTATTCGTGCGGGATCGCAAGATCCAAATCCAAAACATGAAGCCAAAGAGAAAAATAAAAAAATAAAATAAAATGATAACGGTTTTCTTTCTCGCAGCATTTTCTGGAATGCAATCGCATAAAGCACGAACCCCCCCAGCGCAATGAGCACCAATAGAATGCAGGTATAAGACCAACCTAGAAGGAAACAGAAAATCCACTAGAGAGAAGCTCTCCATAAGTTACCCTAACCGAAAACTGCCATAAGACTCTTTGGTCGACGGACTACTTGAACTCAGCCCTTTAAACCGCCTCTGCGTTCTCTCGTGGGTCCCTCTCCTCTCCAAGGCTTAGTCCTAGGGCACTCACCCGTTCTCTAATCGTCTGTGCTCTAGCCATCGCGGCAGGACCATTGAGAAAAATCAAGTAGTCCGCAAACCTCACTGGATTTCGACTCCCTGCCATAACCTTTACGAGATTTTGAAGCGGTGGAAAGGAGCCTACCTACAAAACAGCATAACTTTGGAAAAACTGTCCTTTTTGTGATGATGTCCATCTCTACCACCTCCCTCTATTTCAAACAGTATCACAATTTTCCACATCATTCACTCGCAAACAACACGAAAATCGCTTGAAAACTGGTAAATGCAATTACAAAAGGCATATTTCCACTGTATCCCATCCTTACGCTCGGCCTTCAGCAAGAGCAACAAATCAGACTAACAGCAGCTTCATGAACTCATTTGAGTTGGAAAAACAAAATGACGGTCAAAGAAGAGCCTGGAAGTGCTAAGTGAGTCTCCTGAATATCCTACTTTTCAAGTACCACCAGGGGCCGTATCCCATTCTTCGCCCAGACTAGGGAAACAAAATCCTTCAATTTCCTTGTCTTCTCATCAAATGGTCTTGATGAATTCATTTGTAAAATATGCATATACAGGGGGGGCCAAAAAAAAAAGACATTTTGCCTATGTCGGACTTCGGCTCTTTTTTCTTCGCAGAGATTGCTGTCGTTGACGGGAGTTCCTCAGCAGAGTATTCCCTAAGTGTTCCTCTATAGTGACGCAGGCCCTCCTTCACTGCCCTCACCGTCTTCAGAATATGACGTCATCTGTCACCGTCGTCAGGCTCAAGGAGGTCTACCGTAAGAGCTTCAGCCTGAAGCTCTTACGCAATTTCGTGAATCGATTTAATGTTGGATAGTTTTCTAGAGGCATTAGCTACCACTGTGCAAATCCCCTCGGAACTAGCTTTCCAGTAAGGGTCGTTATGGTACACGATCCTTCGAAGACCCCATTGAGATCGACCAGTGCACCATGTTTCCAGGGCTAATTCTTCTGATGCCGTCCACGTACGTGGCCACTATGAAGATTTTCTTATAGAATGGAATGCACTCTTTAATAATAAGTTGGAACCGTTCGGTCTGAGTTGAGTAAAATGTGCTTAAATCCATCTGGAAGTGGAGGCAAAATGTCTTTTTTTTTGGCCCCCCCTGTATATGTGAAAGCAGGCATATGCGGAAAGTAAAAGGAACTCAGTTTTCGAAAACAAAGAAATTTAAAGTTCTCTTTTGTTTCCCTAGCCTGGGGAAAGAATAGGATACGGCCCAGAAAAGGTACACAAGATCACAAGAAAGGACCTCATGTGTAGGATTGTAGATTTGCTACTATCTGCAAGATTTTCAACCAAACCTTCAGCAACATTCTTGTTCTTAGTGCTTCAACGAACGCGGTGGATGCATCGACCTCGTTCGTTAAGTGAATGTGCCGAAACAGGGTCGATAAGTCGCTGCACAGATCGCGCCCTAGCACACCAAACTTTTAATCTTCACCGAATACTCCTAAGAACGAACTCATTGCGTGTGACGTCCCTTCGTTAGCGCCACCTTTTTCTCACCGTTCAGGTTAGATGCACCGTTCCACAGCCCAAAGATGGCCCTCACAAACTAGCACCAGCGCGCGACATTAAATGGAGGAGTATGGCGACGTGTCAAGGTCACGATCGGCGCGGATACTTTCGCCAAAAACGGCTATAAGAATGGAAGATAACATAGAAAACATAAAACAATAACATATAAAGTTTAGGAACATGCCGACTATTAATACGAATAACAAGGCGGAGATATGAATCAAACCTGGAAGTAGAAGCGCATGACGCCCTCGATTTCAAGATCCTGGAAATATCGATTCAGTGAAGATCTGATCAATAACTGCACCTCACTGATTACAGATTCCAGAAGGAATAAGGCAAAACCCTCCGAAAAATGGTTTGATAATCACGAAAACATTGTCGAAGCTAATCAGACAAATGAACCCCACTGTCAAGATTTTTACAGCTAAACCGCTCAAGCGGCTTCAGAATCAGAGTCATAGTAAAGTAAA